CAAATAGTAGAAATATATGTATTATACATATGTTACTATTTTATAAATTACTTAATAAAGATATAAGCAAGACTTCACCAAAAAAAAAAAAAAAAAAAAAAAAAAAAAAATTTAACTTATTAAATAATAGTTTTATTTTTTAAATAATTTAAAATAAATATTTTTTGATAAAAAACATTAGTTTTTTTTATATTTAAAATAATTAATTCAAGTTTATTTTTTTTATTTTAATATTTAATCTTGAATTCTTTTTTATAGATTACAAAATTAATTTTATATACTTTAAACAAATAATTTATTTTTTTAAGTTAAATATTATTATATAATAACAGACTATTAAGTTTGCCAAAAAAAAAAAAAGAAACCCAAACACATAGAGTAAGCTGCAATAAATAAAAGAAATTGTAAAAATAAACTCAAAAAATACTAATAATAACTATATAGAATAGACTCAAACAAAAAAAAAAGATCACTATTAATATTAAAAAAAAAATTTTATTATAAGTACTATATAGAACATTATTTGAAAAAACAAAATAAAAAAAAATTATAAACAAAAAAATATTGATAAAAGAACTTATTATATTAGAGATAAAAAAAAATTTGAACAACTGTTAAACAAATATATAGTACAAAAATATATAAATATAGTAACAAAAACAATATAAAATACTTTCTATAATCAAGTATAAAAAATTTAATATGAAAGAATATAAGAATATAAAAAACTCTAATATAACAAATAAAATAAAAAAAGATATTTAAATAAAAAAAAAAGAAAAAAAAAAAAAGAAAATAAGATACTAAGAGAAGATAAGAAAGAAAATAAAATAAAATAAAATAAATAACAAAAAAACTTTAAAAACAATTAATATGCTTGTTACAAAAAAGGAAAAACTCTTGGTATAGTTTTAAGTAGTTAAATAAATAATTTATTTTTAACTAAAATAATACAGCAGGTTGCACTTAAATATTAGTAGAATGGCCAAGTAATGCTAAACTTATATATTAGAAAATTCTATGTAATTATATATATATATAATTCCAAGAATTTTAATAAAATATTAACATAACTGCTTAAAGTTAACAAAAAAAAAACTTGAATATTATAAAAAATTTTCAAAACTTACTTATTTTTATTTTAAAATTTTTCATTATTTATATACTGGTTTTTAAGGTTTTTTTATTTTAAACAGTCCTATCTTCTTCTATAAATGATAATATTCTTTTTGCTTTTCCTATAAGTTTTTTTTATTTGTTATTTTTTGACTTTTTTCTTAATCTTACTCTTATTTTTTATTTTCTTTAAATACGTTTTATTATTTATTGTCATAATGTAATTACAGAATGTAAAAAAACTGTTTGCAAGTCATCTTGATGAGTTATGTATTTTAATACTTTAACTAAAACTCATAAGTTGTGTTAATCTTATTAAAAATAAATTCAATGTATTCATAGTTACTTAATCAGATATTATATGCATTGATAACTTCTAAAACATTTCTTTTGTAAGTTTATTCCGATAAGATTTAAATATTTTTAAGCTTTGTATGTTTGTTTTAACAACCTTTGATTTGATTACTTAAGATTTTTATGAGACATATTTTCATTTTTTATTATTAGAATTATTTAGCAAGTGAATTGAGCAAACCAAAATTTTATATAATATATAGTTTTCATTACTCAAATGTTCCTTGTACTGTTACTTAAGATGAACAATGGTTGATTTTTATGCTTAGTTTCTAAAGAAGACTTGATGACTTTTACGCTAACATGAATGTGACGTTTAGACTTTTCATCTATGACTTCATTGGATCTCTGTATTTCACGTCTCCACACTATGCTAAATTTATCAGGATTCAACACAGATAATATTTATATATATTATGCTGATAATACGGTTAATCAGTTAATCACAGATCATTATCAATTACAATATCAGATTTGAGATTTTTGAGTACCTTGATGGTCAAATAAAGCCCGAATTTTTTTTTGTAGACTTACAAATTCTTTGAATTTGTTATTTTGTGAATATCCTACATGATGGAAACACCAGGTTCTTATGGTTCAGTCACCGTTCCGCCGAGTCTCAATCATTTTGCGATATATAATCCCACCTTTGGGCCAACAGAAGAAACACAAAAAGATCAACTATTATATTATGTAGCAAAAAAAACGGTTCCAATCGACGTCCAAATGCGTCAAATTGGCCTGGCTCAGGGCTTAATTAACTTTACAAGGTTAGCTTTGCTTGAGGTTATATTTTTAAGCTATATTTTTACACATTGGCAGTATAATGCAATGCCGGAAATGTTTTTTGGTAAAAAGTGTTTGTATGAAAACAATTTGATGCTGAGGAGGTTTAACGATCCGGTGAGCTGTTATTGTTATAATTGAAATATTATTTCTACGCTACAATGTAGGGCATTTTCTCCAATAAAGGCATGTGAGAATGTTCACACACAAAAAAATCGAATGGTATTTCATGAACCTGAAAAGGATTATTGGATATATGTTGTAAGTCATCCAATATGTAAGAAATTTGATTTTCGTACAATTTATTTTTTTAAAAAATTTTGATTATCTTTACAAATGAAAGTCAATCGAATTAGGTTACATAAAAAAATTAACAAAGGATAAAGATGGAAAACCGAAAACTGTTATTGAATATCTTGATTCGAATTTACATGATTCAGGAATAAAAAGAATGCTTGACATGGGATATGAAATGTATAGAGTAAATAATGATTCCATTTAAAAATATTGTTTTATTGTAAATACATTATTATCAAAAGAAAAATTTTCATCATTTAGGTATTCAACGGTACTTTCGAATCGACAATGAAAACCTTTGGAGTAATGACTTTAAAAACCAAATTAGAAGAATTTTTCTCCAATTGGGTTTTTGAATGGGATTTTGATAAAACCGAACTTACAAAGACAATTGATGGTCAGCATTCTTACAAAAAAAAAAAAAAAAAAAAAATTTAGAGAACTTTGTTAAGCAGGATTATGTAAGATTCATTCAATTATATATACATTTATTAATACGAAAATAGGCATTTTTTATCTTCCCCTTTCCAATTCAGCCATTTCGAAGGTTTCATCATTTGTTGAACAAAGTCAGGCAGAATATAATTTTATATCGGAGATACTTGTATTATGGCAAAATAAATTGGTATATAATGGAGATGGAAATAGAAATATATCAGAAAATGATCTAAAGAGCATATTACGACATCTAGTTCCTTTGATATCAGAGAGAGATGCGCTTGAAAGAGAATTACTTGAGAAAAAGAAGGCCAAAGAAACTGAGAAAGTATGTTCATTTTTGATGAAATTATACTATTTATTATTTTAAGTTGAATCCCATACGATATATATATATATTGTTTAGTTATCTTCACTCAAAGGGTTTACCCGAAGTTTCTCCGGAAGTAATCTCTTTTCGTACTTTTCATCATCCATCTCTCCAAGCACGTCACCGCCTAACAACACGTATGCTTCTAGTAATTCATCAACTCAACATGATACATCACATTCTTCGTCGAATTTGACGCCATCTACAAATTTCTTGTTGGGACCATCACATTTGAATGTAGCTGATAGCGACATAAAACCTTTGAAAGTATATTTGACCAAAAAGGTAACTGATGCTCTTAAAGGAGATGCCACTGAAGCCAATGCTGAATACGAAGTTAGTACTGAAGAGTACTTTCTCATTGCATACAAGGTAGGTTGTCATCATTATTTATTATTTTTATTATTTATGTAAATTATTCTGAAAATTTTTCAATTTTTCAGCAAAATGATCTTACACTCGTTTTCCTGATATCGAATTCCTTGCCAGAGGTCTCTACAAAAGTTTCTAATGTGACTCTTTACAAGTCTATACACGATTACTTGTCATTACATTCAGATGGCATTATCAAAACCATGAATGAGGATTATGAACATTCCAGAACACTTGGGTATCATTATTTTCTAATATATAAATATATGTATATTTTTCAACAATTGAATTAAAGAGTTTCGTTGATCTTTACCAATCAGATCTGATACAGATAAAGAGTATCGTTATGTGTTTTTTAACAAACTCAATTTGGCCATTAAATCATCATTGTATCCATTTACTGCCTCTAATGGAATGTCATCGTCAAAAGGATTAACCATCACTAGCGAAATGGCACATGCATTATGCGATCTACATGAAGATCTAGAAAAGTAAGTTTCATCCTATTAATTTTTAATTGACTTTAAGGCTTCATTGATAATAATGAGAATTATTATTATTATTTCTTCAAGGTATCCGCATTTGACAGAAATTTATACACGATCAACAACAAATTTTTGGATTGTGGGCAAGAGATCAGATGGTCGAGTGCTATATGTCGTCGTACCTAAAAAAGAAGTTTCTTTAATGGAGGTTGAAGGTATTAATTTTTTGATTCATTCGAATAGTAGTTTTTAACATTATATCTAATTTTTTTTATTTTAGATGATGTGAGGAAATTAAGTAACCTTTATTTTTCTGGATCGTATGTTAACAATTAATTTATCGCGATTCATGTAATGTTTAAAAAAATCATGTTTCATGATTTATTGTTAAAGAATTATATTAAGCACAATGTTGTACGTGTTTAAATCGTTATTATAATAAGAAAACTCGGAAAATTTAACACATTAAACTTTGAGCATTTATATTCCTCAAACTATTAAATAATTGAAATACTAACGATGTAACTAACATTTTCAAAGCTGCAATAACTGAGATTCTTTATTTGCAAAGAATTACTATAAAGTTTAAGGAAATAATGTTCAAGCAGTAAAAAGAAAGGAAAAAAAATCGCAAATTTCTTTTACCTTCTATACATGTTTTTTTATATACATGGTTTGAAAAGAAAAGTAAAAATGAAGAAAATATAAAGAATAAAGGCATGCCTAGTGCCACATTACAAGTATTAATTTCGTTTTACAAAGAAATATGCAAATAACTTTTATAAAAAATATCTAGAAGTAGATAAAACTTAAAACGATCTTTTAAAGTAAGAAAAAGAAAATAAAAGAGATAAATCTTAAACATTAAATGTTCATTTACTTTCTTCCCTAAATATTTAAAACTTCTTCAAGCTTCAGCTGCGGCGGCACCTTTCTTCGATTTCTTCGGCAAAAGATTTTGGTGAATATTTGGTAAAACGCCACCTTGAGCGATTGTAACATGACCAAGTAACTTGTTCAACTCTTCGTCATTACGAATAGCAAGTTGGAGGTGACGAGGAATAATTCTTGACTTTTTGTTATCACGGGCAGCATTACCAGCAAGTTCAAGAATTTCAGCAGCAAGATATTCAAGGACGGCGGCAAGGTAAACGGGAGCACCAGCACCAACTCTTTGAGCGTAGTTTCCTTTACGAAGTAAACGATGAATACGACCTACTGGAAATTGAAGACCTGCTTTAGCCGAACGAGATGAGCTAGCTTTGGCGGGAGCAGAGGCTGCAGATTTTCCACCGGATTTTCCGCCAGAAGACATGTTGTAATAGTATGTATATATTAAGTGTTAACGTTAGGTGTGATAAATAAGATTTGTTGAATAAAAGAAACAGGTAAAATTTTTGTCAACGATTTTTGAAAAAATTGGAAATCAAATTAGGGAAATGGCAGTGATTTTATAGTAAATTTCTACGCCGCGCTTTAAGTCACAGATCATTAATAGGCTGATGATGTAAACAAACCAGATGATTTTGGGTAACGTGTCTGTAAAGGTCGAACAAAAACAGTCCATCCAAACAATACACGAGCACGTTATTTGGACAAGCCACCACTTAAATTAATTATACGCGTCACGAGTTTTATAACGCGTGACTTTATTACAAATTTAGACGGCAATAAATCCATATTTGGGTTTTTACATGAAATATGTAAAAATCAAACCGAATCAAAACACAAAGCGCGATTTTACGTGTCCTGATCTTAATTGTTTTTTTTATATAAAAGGACCTCAGATTCGACTAACTTTTTATTATTTTATGTACATCGACTTTTAACAATCCAAAGACACTTTTTCTTGTAAAATAAATAAATTTTTTATTTCTCCTATACTTTTAAGAATCAAAATCAACAATGCCTTTAAAAGCTGAAAAGAAGCCTGCTACTGCCGGTAAAGCTCCTGCAACCAAAGCTCCTTCTGAGAAGAAAGACACTAAAAAGTCTACCGCTCCTGGTGAAAAATCCAAGAAACGCAAAGTTAGAAAGGAAACCTATTCAAGCTACATCTACAAAGTCCTCAAGCAGGTACATCCCGATACCGGTATTTCCAACAAAGCTATGTCAATCCTCAACTCTTTTGTCAACGATATTTTCGAACGTATTTCCGGTGAAGCTTCTAAACTTGCGGCTTACAACAAGAGATCAACTATTTCTTCTCGGGAAATTCAGACTGCCGTTCGTTTGATTTTACCTGGTGAATTGGCAAAACACGCAGTATCCGAAGGAACTAAAGCCGTCACTAAGTATACTAGCTCCAAGTAAAGGAAAATGATAGATTTCACGTAGAAGAGGATTTTTTTTTTTTCTTCAAGAAGCATATATACATATATAATTAATATAAAGATTATCAACGCAAATAACGATATTTTCAATATTTCTGATTGTAGTATTACAAAAACATGATTATAAATTTTTTTAAATAAATCAAAAAAGCATTGCTGCAAGAAATTTTAATGTGTTCCTTGTTCAAATGAATAATATATTATTTTTTAATTGTAGCTTGAATAATTTACTTTCTAAAAAATTCTAAAATACAATTATTATAATGCAATAGTTCATCGATTCTATTCCACTCTTTCTTATGCTCATTTAATATCGATTCCAAATGACATCCAAGCGATTTGTAATTACTAGTAATAATATCACCGTAAATTTTTAAAAAGTGATTTAGATATGCTTGAACTATTTCAAAATCTTTTTTAGTTTTCAATCTTGATTTTATCGCATCTAAAAAACACGTTAAATCTTCAAAATTGTTATCAAGACTTAGAATACGTAACTCAAAGTCAATTGCGGAAGGGTTTAAAGTTTTTGCATAATTGAAGAATTCGGTGTCTAACAATATAACAGATGTTAGATGACCGTCATAATAATATTCTATTAAAAATTGAAACCGTTCAGTTGTTTACCGATTAATTGATTTATACTTAATTGATCGGTAACAATGGTTAAGAAGTCGGTTAATAAGATTAATAGAGAAAGTATAACCTTTTGTTTCATCAAATAATTCGATTGATGATTTTAACTGACTACTTAACCAAATGAACTAAATTTTGCAGTCATTATTTGACTGATTTCAATTCCTATATCAAATTAGGAAATTAAAAATTCTTACATTCTCCAGTAGAGTGATTCTTTTTTAATATTTTCAAAAACTCGGTTTCTATTTTAATATCATTCAAACTTAAAGTTTTATCCCCTTTTTGTTTCTTTCCTTCATCAGATTCGTTTAAGGCAAGGGCAGGAACAAATTTTGGATCAACTCCAGACAGAGTAGGGAGGAAAAATGGTGGCCTCTCTGGAGCCTTGGGAGGCTCCTTAGGTTTGTTTCGTTTCTATTCACATTAAATTATTCAAGAGAATATTATTATTAAATTTTATATGGAATTGGCTTGAAATTTAAAACCAAAACCTTGTTTACCTTAATAGTTTCTAAATTCAGTAAATTTTGCCATTTAGACTTTGGAAGTGATGATAAAGTTATCATTTGCTCCGTGAGCTGTTCCGCTGTCTCAAATGAAACGTCATTTATTTCATTAGAATTAGACGCAAACAAATCTATTTGACGAATCAAAAGAGAGAATTAGCAGAGACCAATAAAAATGAATATAACCATTTCTTATCATACCTTCATTGTTATCTTCTATGCCCAACGTGGTTGGAAGCTCAACCAAAGAAATAACATCATCATCATCTATTCTCCTCAACGTAACATTAGAGAATAGTGTACTATTTACCCTGTAACAATAACAACAAAATGTATAAGTAGACAAGTAAATTGAAATATAATGAATAAATAAAAATGATTAGGCACCATAAGAAAATTCCCACATGATCTACATGTGAGGTTGCCAAAAAATCGCCATTCGGCGAGAATGTTATACTAGTTGGGACATTTTCTACTCGAAATATATCTACTAAATGACCGGTTGGAAGATCCCAAGTACGGATTGTAGCATCAAGAGATGTAGAAATGATCCACCGTCCATCGGGACTAAATATCTTTTGGATAATATGTCGTCAATCTTACTATACCTATTTAATTTCAAAAGTTCTGATAAATCTCTTACCAAATCTGTTATACGATTTTTATGACCCCAAAACTCTCTAATAATTTTATTAGTTTCTACATCTATAACGCGAATACACAGGTCATCACTAACAATTGCCAACAAATCATTTTCGGTATGGAATCGTAAAGCTGATATAGGAGATCCGATTTCTATCGTGCTTTTAACTTTTGCTGTATTAAAATCCCAAACCTAAAATAAATCCAAACAAGGGTCATCCATTAGTACATTACTCTATACTATAAATTAATTTATTTTCATTCACCTTAACGGTGCCATCAAGAGAACTACTGATCACAATACGATTAAGCGCGTCATTTGCTATGCCAGAAATGGCTTTTGCGTGTTCTATGATAAATTTGGTTAACTAAACAAGTTTGAAGAATACGTGTAATTATCAAACTATAAACAAATGCACATACTATCTTCCCCAGCAAAGGTTCTCCGATGAATGCCAGATTGCATATTAAACATTTCAATATAACCAGAAGATGATCCGATGAAACCGAAATTTCCACATGCACTTATGTTTGAAACCTAACATTTGTTTCAAGATCCAAATTCAATGTTATGAAAGTTATATTTATTAAATAGTTTAATGACTTTTTATACCGATATACCTTAATATGTGATCCATCAAGCGTACGAAGGACATGTTTGCCAATAACTTTGGATTGAAATGACCATGTTCGAGCCCCATTATTATTTATATGACAAGAAATAATATTATCCCACTCTTTCTGCTTTACCTCAGCTAAAGACAGATAATTATATGAATAATTAATATTTTGCTTTAATGAGTATCTTTTGTTAAAAAGCATTTCGAAACTTTGCTCATGTTTAGTAACACTTTGACTATATTCTTGACTTCTTTAAATAAAGACCAGACAAACTTTATACGCCTATAACAATAATTAACCTTACATGAGGAAAAATGGGTTATTTGCGGTAGCTTAAGAGCATCAATAGTTCTTATATGGTCTTTAGATTTATTAAACTTTTTGAGTATGGATCCTAATATCAGATATGGATATAAGATAAGTGAACATTTAATCCATCCAAGCAAAAAAAAAAATCGTACAACACACCTTGAGACAATTCCACGCTTTGTGAATCCCGCACCAATGAAAATGCTCTTAATGACCTATCACCAGCTGCACTCAGAATAAAGTGACCATCTGATCCATAAAATTCAATTTTAGTTGGAGGTGCATGATGACCACTCCTTGACTTTAAAAGACGAGGCTCAACTCCATCCAAAGTGTCGAAAATCCATTCCTAAATCGTAATTAGTAAGTACAAATTTGTCTCAGCCAATAAACTAATGAGATTTGTGAATAATACATACCTTTATAGAATTATCAGCACCAGAAGTAAGTAATATAGGCTGGCCATTAAGAAACTGTATTGAAGGGATTAATCCATCATGAGCACCTTTGATAATATGTGATAATCGTTTCTCATCAAGGTTCCAAAGAGCTATATCACCGTACATATTAGCGGACGCCATTATGGGTCGATCATCTGATAGTTGAACTTATTGAATAAGGATGTTTTATGAATAAACATCATTTGTATAAATCACATACCTGTTCTGAAAGTTAAAGATGTAACACAGCCCTCTTGTTTGTAAGACATAATACGTTCATCCAACTTGATATTATGAAGGACTATTGTACCATCAAGTAGACCAATTGCGACAACATCAACAACGGGCGATTGTACGAGTGACGTAATTGAAGATCCGATCGAAGAAAATGAATATTTCAATTTTCTGCCATTAAATGATCATAAACATAAGCAATCCAGACAAAATAATAAACATGAATTTTAAATTTTATACTTTGTCCGGATATTCCAAATTTGCATTGTTCCTTGCCTACTGCCAAGTAATACTTTGTTCAAATACGTGCTTGGATGAATAATAGTTGAGACCGTGAAATTTTCATCAAATTGAATTTCAGAACATAATTCTATACAAACGAATAAATTCAAATTTCGCGAAAAATTATATATGTATAGAGAATTTAGATAATAAATTTAATCTTACCTCCAGACTTATGATCCCAGAGTATAACGACATTGTCCTCGTTCAGAGCCATGATATAATTACTAAAAATCGACAAAAAAAAGATGTTTCCTTGATGATTTCCATGATAGCGCGAAATCTAGGAAACAATTATTATTACAACTGAACATTCGTTGGACAAAACTAAAGATATTTAATTACCTCTTTACCAAATTTGAAAGCAATTAGATCCTTTGCACAAGCTACAAAAACAACGTCTCCGTACGAAGTAAGTGCTGTTATAGGTTTCTCTGTTTGTGTACCTATTGAACAATAGACATTAATCGAACCCAAAAATATTTGTTTAAAAAAGTTTAGTAATATAAAATCGAACATACCTACGTATTTCAAATTAAGTTTAGCACACTTAAGACGAATTAGTTTATTTTTAAGCTTTCCAATTTCAATGAATTACATAAATCAAACCTACATCATATATGTGAAAGCTATTGCCTATACATGTTGTAACAAAATATGCATTCCCTCTTGTTTGAAGGTCAAATGGTACGTTATTTGTAACATATCCAATAGCACGAAAGGGCCGAAAAATTCGAGTTTGAGAGCCTTTGAAAAAAGAAGGATCAATTTTATTATCGTCAGTTTTGATTTTTTTTGACATTTCCTTTTGATATCCACTTTTTTTTGATATCAAAATTTGCTACAGATATCTAAATTTTCAATGGCCAATCAAAACCATTTATCATCGGTCTTTAATTTTATTGGCAACTGAAACGATATAGAAAACAACTTATATTTAAGTTGAACTAGAATTTGAGAGATTTAAATCGCAACAATGTCTAAAACTTCGCAACCAGAACTAAGAAAGTGCGTGATATAAATCTAAAATTAAAGAACTTATTATACATATTTGATCTGTCCCTCATTGATTTTCTTATTTTATACACGTAGATATATGGAAAAAAGAGTGTTCATTCAGCTTAATGGAAGTCGAAAGGTAACCGGAATTCTACGTGGCTTTGATCCTTTCATGAACTTGGTTCTGGATGAGACAGTTGAAGAAGTTTCAGCAACTGAGAAGCACAATATTGGCATGGTGGTAAGTAGCATATGATCAAACAATAAGTTTTCAAAATATTGATCAAAAATTAATAACAACTCTGCAGGTTATACGCGGGAATTCTGTTGTAATTATGGAAGCTTTAGAAAATGTGGGATAAAAGGACGCGTTTCTCGCTTCAGCGATATATTATTTTTATTAAATAAATGTCAAACGCATCATATTAATAGATTACATAGTTAATTTAATTTCTCTGTTAAATGTTTTCTCTGTTTAATTGCAGTACTATTAAAAAACAATTTTCTAATGCAACTCTGGGTATTTAAATTTAAAGTAATCTTCATCAAAATGGTGCACTCGAACATAACCATCCTCCCCACCAGATGAAAAGCTCTTCCCATCAGGATGTACTGCGATAGTATTTATAGGACCAAAATGACCCTTAACTCTACCAACCTCTTCTTCCAAAATTTTGTGATAAAATCTACATTCAAATTTGCCCTGTCTCATGGTAGTCATGGTGACTTGCATAGCATCTTGACCACCACCCAAAATGATAAAATCTTGAATAGGGGTTATTGCAGCAGAATTAAGTGGTGCATCCGTCATATATTTTTTTAGGTGATTCAATGTGTTAGATTCAAAAACCTGAGCGGACTTATCTTTCGACGAAGTAATGAAATATGTGCGATCTTCCGCCATTTGAAGATCAGTGATTTCAGCCGTATGAGGATGAATAGATTTAATTTGATCACCTGCCTGTGATTTAAATTTATTACTTCAAATTGCATTAAGGATCGATAGGTAGAAGTTTAAGCCAAACTAACCTTCCAATCATATTGAGCGATGCTTCCATCTTCATGCCCTGTTATTATATATTTGTTTAGATATCCCCAGTCAGCAGTCATCGCTTTAGAACCTTTGGGATATATGATATTGATAGGCTCGTTTGATTCTATTAATAACAAATTAAATATATCATGAATATTTTTCCAAGAAATCGTTAAATCAAGATTGTAAAGAATAAATATAACATACGTTCCGCTTCGAGATCATTTTTAATTGACAAAATCACAACAGTCCCTGGGTAACCCATACGTTGTTCGGTTACAGCAAGTGCCATGGTATCATCTTCAGAAAATGCAACGCGCTTTACCGCAGTTTTGAATTCCCAAGTATGCAAGCATTTGCCAGTTTGTACATCCCAGAGTTTGGCAGTATTATCTGCCGAGCCGGTTAGTAAAAGAGTACTTGGTGCTAAGTTGAATATAAAAATTAAATAAGATTAAGAACTTTGTAAACAATTTTGAGTGTATTTAAAGAATGAAATACAATTGACATCCACGGTCCAAATAGCCCCAACGTGGCCATTATAAGTTCCCAAGCGTTCGCCATTGTGTGAATACCATATGTTCACGACGTGATCCTTAGACACTGAGAAAAGAAGATCTCCTTCCCGATTATACTTTATTTGAGTTAGAGAGCGTGTATGTCCTTGCAAAAGAATAGGCCTCTGCATTATGCATGAATTGATCAGCTTGTATCTTGTGATTATAAAGATACCAGTTTCTCAACTTACCATTGCTTATTAATCGATCATTATTCTTTAAAATTTCTACATAGATCGATTTTTAATCATTAAAAATTTCTCAGGCACGTGCATTATAGACAGACATTCGTTTAATTGGTTAATTTTTGTCGATCTACCCGTGATAAAGTTTATCATTTTAATATTATAGGCTGTATTGTCACTTTTGATACATCATATTTTATAAAATAAATTAAAAAACTTATTA